TTCCCATCTCCTACTCTTTTTCGTCTTCTTCCTCTTTCTCTCTCTCTCTCTCTCTCTCTCTCTCTCTCTTTGTTCCTCTTTCATTTCTTTCCCATCTCCTACTCTCTTTCGTCTTCTTCCTCTTTCTCTCTCTCTCTCTCTCTCTCTCTCTCTCTCTCTCTTTGTTCCCCTCTCTCTTTATTCCCCATCTCACACTCGCTGTGCTGTTCCTCCCCCCTCTCTCTCTCTCTCTCTCTCTTTCTCTCTCTCTCTTTGTTCCCCTCTCTCTTTATTTCCCATCTCACACTCGCTGTGCTGTTCCTCCCCCCCTCTCTCTCTCTCTTTCTCTCTCTCTCTTTGTTCCCCTCTCTCTTTATTTCCCATCTCACACTCGCTGTGCTGTTCCTCCCCCCTCTCTCTCTCTCTCGCTGTCTCCCCCTCTCTGTAATTATTCCCAATCTCCTCTCTCACACGGATCCGTCCGGATCTGTTCCGTAGAAGGACGTGTACGGCGACGAGTAGATGATAACAAGAGAGACGATCGTCGTCACGAGGATGAACACCCACAGCAGTATGCGGTCGACGACAAGCGCCACCTGCTGCCACTCTAACCGGATCGTGTCGCGACGATCCTGTTCGGCTAGTCGGATCTCGTTCTTCTCGATCGTCTGGTAGACCTTGTTGAGCACTTTGATGAACTGCCGCTCGAAGAGGTCCATGGAGGACTGCGGTCGCACGCGATGGCCGAAGCGGGGCGAGCCCGTCGATAGGCCGCCGTTCGGTTCCGTTCCGATGCTCGTCGACATTTCGGAGCATTTCTCCGGGAAGGCGTCCTGCGGAGGCTGGTAGTCCTGACAACGGCAAAGATAAGTCGCTTAGAGACGGGCGGTTGTGGGGGAAGGGGCGGGGGATTGACGGTAGGGTGATACTATCGAGGGGAGGGGGACATTGTACAGGCGCGCTGTGGAGGGTGGTAGTCCTGGCAACGGCAAAGACGCGTCGCGGTGAGAAACGAGCGGGGTGGGGGAGGGCGGTATGGGATTGACGAATACTATCGAGGGAAGGGGGAGGTTAGATAGCCGGTGGAAATACAGTAGTGTTTAACTAGTCACCCTCACACACACATACACACACACACACACGCACGCACACACACACACACACACACACACACACACACACACACACACACACACACACACACACACACACACACACACACACACA